AGGAGACCTGCCCCGTTCTGGCCGGACTTCATCACTTGGCTTCCTACACCCGACCCGAACTGGCTCTCTGTCTGGCACGAGGCCCTCATTGCAGCGGTCAACACACCGTCCCTGATTTCTCTGAAGCAGCCACAGCCCTTGTTTCAACCAACAAAATGGGGGCCAAAACAGAGCGAAGAAAGTAGCACAAGGAGGAGAGACAAAGGAATCCCAGGACATTCCCTCTCCCTTCCGTCCCTGGCCGAGGACTCTGCTCCTCTCCAAAATGCTCTGCCTGGGAACGGTGGGCACGGACCCCTCCCGGCTTGGCTCAAGGCACGGGTTGCAGACCGTGCAGAGGCTGGAACCCTGGAGGGTCTCTCATCCGAGAACCGCTTCGGAGCCGAAACGTTCAGGGAGGCCTCTTGGCACCCGAAAGGATGGTTTCAGGATGCATTTTGTGGCTCTCCGTTTGAAGACCCGAAGGAGGGGAGTGGATGGTGCAGGGCTTCAAAAAGTGACGCTTTTGTGGACCGCCCTCTCCCACAGCGCCTTGCTCCCAAAGAGTAACCAGTCCAAAAGAGAGAGGAAGGGGCCTCTTAGGGTTGGAGGGTGGGTGAGATGAAAGGTGCTGCCTGCGTCCCTCTGGGATAGGGGGTGGCGGCAGGTGCCCACGCTCGCCTCCAGCCGGCTTCCAGAGGCCACCAGGGGAGCAGGTGGCGGGGCTGATGTCCATCGCTGGCTGACCGGCCCAACATCACCCAGGCTGCCATGCAGCCAGCCGCTGTGAATCATTTCTACACCGCCCGGTGTGTGTGTGTGTCTGTGTGTGTGTGTTTGGCTAGACACCCCCCTCTCCTCCCGCCGAGGGATGTTGGCCCTTCTCCCAGGCCTTTCTGCTTCGTTTCCCAACCCCACGAGTGACGGGTGCCAGCGCCAGGGGAGCGGCCCGGTCGCTGCGCGTCTCCTTCTGGGAAGCCAGCACCCGATATCACATTAGGCTGTTGGAAGGGAGCCCAGCCTTTTCCTAGAAACAGAGGGTTGTTAACTTTGTGGCTTTCCTTGCTAACAGGCTCCCTGTGGCGAGGCTGCAAAAGGACCCGCGCCGGTTGGAGAGCACTTTCATCGGAGGGCGGCGAAAGGGCTCACTGCTCTTCCTGGCAGAGGAGGAGGTGTCTTTGGACGCACACATTTCCCTCCCCATTTCCCTCTTCTTCTCCTGCCCTGGGGAATCGGCACCTTGCATCCCGGGGACCTCTTCCTCCCACTCCATGAAGGAGGAGGGGGCTGAAGGCAGACGAGCCCCCCTTCCCTTGCAGACCTTCAACTCCTGGCTGCCCAGTTTCTCTAGGAAGGATCAGGTGCCCATGGATGGCGAAGCCCCCGCTCGGCCCAAGACCTGGGACCAGTGCCGCAGACAGAGAAGCTGTACTAATGGCCTGACTAGGCACAAGCGGAGCTTTGTCGAAAGAGGTCTATACCTCCTTTGCAAAGCCACCCCCATGCCTCACGGCACCCAGGAGCGAATTCTACAACTTGATTCGTTGTTGTGTTGGAGGTTTGGCAACACTGCAGGCTGCCTCTAGTAAGTGTAGTTGGGAGGGACCTTTCTGAACCAGGATGGTCGTCAATCTGCCCAGACCCAACCGATAGTTCTTCCCTGCCTCTGAATTTAAAGAGAGTCTTGCCACTCTGTTAAGAATCCCCACCCCATCCCTGCTGTCTGCTGGCAGTCAATAGTCTGTTGCAGTCAGGGAGTCTGTTGAGGGCTGTTGCTGCAAGCAGTCATGTTTGTTTTTAGTTTGCTGTTAGATCTGCTGAACTGTAAGTAAACAAACCTGTTTTGTTCTTTCTCTTACTAATGTCTCAGCATGAGTACTTGAGACTCTAAGTGCCAGTTGATGAGCAAAAAGAGGCAGACTAAACTGGGGGATGTGAAGCTATTCTGTTCTGTACATCCCTGCACGTCTGCTGCGCAGCTAGAGGAATTTAACCAAAATTCAAAACTCTGCAACATTACTTGAGGCTTTTGCCTCCCTCTGCCTAATGACATGGCTGTCTGGCCCATCTATCAGCATCATCTGAGCCCCACCTGCACACCTCATGATTAGCTCTATTCCCGATAGCCTCCCTTGATCCGAGTAAGCATGCAGGCCAGCTGCCCTGGAGGAGGATGGTGGGGGGCAGAGTAGCTAAGACACCTCAGAACTTCAGATCTTCTCTCTTTTTTTTCCCTGCAGTCCACCCCCACCCTGCCCCACTGTTTCTGCTGCTTCCAGCCCCACATCATCACCTGCTCCCTGGGCTTCTGTGGTGAGATGCTTGGGCTCCTCCGTCCAGGGTGTGGCATGGACCGCCACGCTCCAATCACTCCATGTCCCGATGTCGTTGTCCTTGGCGGCCACCTGGATGATGTACTCCTTGCCAGCGTAGGCGTCGGTGATGATGTGGCTGGTCCCGTCCGAGAGCTCCACCTGCACGGGGAAGAAGGGGCACTCGGTCAGCTGAATGAGCTGAGCAAAGTCTCAACGGGCCAACTGGGGCCACCCTCTCAGTCCTCCACTCTGACCACACACCTCGCTCTTGGAAGTGAGCCGCCCTCCTCGACAGATGAGGATACGGCCAGAGAGAGGCGTCTCGGTCCGGAGGGAGGGAAGCCGTCTCTTGAAGGAACATGGAGCTGCGTGTGTTTGGAGCCTGGCTCAGGCCTGGGTCTGAATTGGGCCCTGCCCATGAAAGGGAGGACTCGGCCAGCAGGAAAGCAGAGCCCAGATCCAGACCTTGGGAGAACCACTTTCAGAGACCGCTCGTTCTTAGTCACTATTTATTGTTTAATTTGTTTAAAATATGCTCACTCTTGCCTGTTAAGGACTCAAGGTGTAGCTCTCAGGGCCCCCCCATGTGGCGTGGCTACTGCCTGTGGCTGGAGGGGGTGTTTCTGGATACCCTCCAAGGTCATCCTCCAAGCTCTGCTCCGACTGCAGCTCCTTGCCGTTCCCTCTGAGGCCTTGCAGGACGGATTTAGGGTCAAAGCCCACTTTCTTAGACAGGCCTCTCCAAAGCACGCACTCTTCAGTCCTTTCTCACTTGATCAGTGCAGGGTGGTGGTGGGGGAACAAGGTCTGTTTCCTACCCCCCCCCCCTCACCCAGCATCATTACTAACTGCAGAAATATGCAGAACTGGTTTTCTTAAGGCGGAAACAGATGTGACATCAAGTTTCACAGCAAGAAGGTGGTAAATTATCATGTTACATCTCCTTCACACTCATTTCTCTGCACAATTAGCCTGCAGAGGAATCCAGGCTCATCTCCCGGGGACCAGCCACGAAACAAACAAAATAAATCTAATTTGCAACTCAGAGATCGGCAAAATCTTGTGGTACGAAAAAACAAACAAAAGTTTTTTTAACTCTTAAGGGAAAAGCACTTCTAACTGCAAAGCTGAACGGTTGTCTGTTTCTGCCCTTCCCTGGACGGTGTTTGCCTCTGGCTTCCTCCTCAGGTCTCTCTTTGTGATTCCATAGCTCAATAACCCAGCTTTCTGTAATATCCTAAGGGGATAAAAGAATCTCTCTTGACAGAATCTAACCTCTGTCCCCAAAACATCTCTTGTGATACTAATTGGAGTAATTAATAGCTGGAGATTCCCATTCCTGTGTTAATGAGCCACTGCCATCATGTCTACTATCAGTGTCTTCACCTGGAGGTGGGTAAATGGAGGGGAGATCCTTTTACACTCCTTGGGTCTGAAAAAGGTGGGTTTTGATCCAGAAAGGCTTAAGGTGGAATTAAAATTCTTAGCCTTCGAAGCGTGACCACATTTTGCCTTTTCTCTTCTGTTACCAAAGGTCTCCTGACCGCTTTTCCTCTGCCTTCCTTCAGTTACTGGGGTTTGCCCACTCAGGCGTTCACACGTCAAGAGTCATAAACCAGACCCAGCATAGATGGACGGAGTCCTCGTCCACCTCTTGGCCTCTCCTCTCCAACCATCTCCATAACCAAAGGAGGGCCTTTCCTTCTTTGCCAGAGAAAGTCCCTCAGGGAACCATGGAGGGAGATTGGCCCTCAAACCCGTACCTGTCAGCTCTTCCATTGTGGGAAAGCGACATTTGCTTGGGGCTCCTCTCTTTCCCTCAAGCTCCGGAATTTCATCTCCTGACTTCACTTTGTCCCGGACAATTTGACCTCCGTGAAGTTGTCCTCGGTAATTGGAGAGCCTTTCAAGAGCTGTTATGCACAACCATAGCATAACTTGGCAGGGCAGCTCGTCCGGGCCAGATTTCAGCTCCTCTGCAAATTATCTTTGCTAACTTTGTTATATCCGAGCTGTCGGAAGGGTCAAGCCGAGGGCTCCGACAAAAGACCATGGAAGACCGAGAGGAGCTATCCAGCCGTTTGAGTTTAGCACAGTTCCTTAATTGGCATTTTGGCCGGCAAGACAGAGAGATTATATCTAAGTTGGAAACCACTTGCAGAGTAGTAAAGATCGCCTCGGGGCGGGGGGGGGGAGAGGAAAAGAAAATCAAGCACTTTGCCCCAGTCACATATTGAGGAAACTCAGAGAACCTCTGAGGAGCATGGATGTGTTCATTCGTCTTCACTGCTGGCCCATAGCAAGGAGTTAATTTCTAAACCACCAGGAAAACTGGAATAATCATTAGGCTTGCTGACTGCTTGATCTTCCTCCCAACCCCCGCCCCACGATAACCCATATATTTCATTTTAAATTTGATGAACTGCAACAGCCCATTAAAACATCTAGTAAGATAAAGGTTCCCCTTGACATTTAGTCCAGTCATGTCCGACTCTGGGGGGGTGCTCATCCCCGTCTTCAAGCCAGCGTTTGTCTGAAGACCATTTCCATGGTCATGTGGCCAGCGCAACTAGACACGGAACGCCGTTACCTTCCCACTGAGGTGGTACCTATTTATCTACTTGCATTTTGCATATTTGCATGCTTTCGAACCGCTAGGTTGGCAGGAGATGGGACAAGTGACGGGAGCTCCCTCCGTTGCGTGGATTCGATCTTACGACGGCGGGTCTTCTGACCCTGCCGCACAGAGGCTTCTGCGGTTTAACCCGCAGCGCCACCACGTCCCTAAAACATCTAGTAAACAACAATAAAAGAAAAACAACCAAACTACATAGCCAGCGCTCCCCACCAATGGGATCATTAAGGAGAAACCACTTAAACCATTTATCCATCTCTTTCCAAAACTTTATAGACATGAGGGTTAAGCTTTATCCCTTCCTCTCTATCAACGTCTTTAGCAGTTATTCCGTTCTCAATTTTTGTATTACATGGAACCTTGTCATGAATCGCGACATCCCAGACATCTCTGTACCAATCACTTAATGGTATATTGTGTGAGCTGATTTCCAGTTCCTAGCAACAATTAATCTTACCACTGTTAACAGATTAGAAACTAGTTCTCTCGTCAACCACATCTATTTCATTTTTCAGTACTGATAGAAGTACTATTTTAGGACAAACAGCTAAATTTAACTTGCTTATTTCGTTTATTTCTTTACCAGATGCCAAAATTTCTATTTATTCTCACATTCCCACCACATTTGAAAATAAGTGCCTGTTTTCTGGCACGGTCTCCAAGGTCATCGAGGAATGATTATCATCTATTTGATTGTCACTGGAGTTAAGTACCATCTCCACACTAAATTCTCTTTCAGCCCACTGGAGTTAAGTACCATCTCCACACTAAGTTCTCTTTCATCCGTATTTATATATTATTTATTTATTTATTAGTTTTTTACCCCGCCCCTCTAGACAATGTCTACTCGTATTGACGTGGATCTCAATATTTATTTATTTATTTATCTGATTTATATGCCACTCGATTTATATATATCACATTCCCATAACATTTTAAGTGAATCCTCCTGTTCTTCTACTTTGAGTAATAAATATTACTTACTCCCCCCTTCTCCTCTCCTAAACTTTCCTTCTTTAAAACAATTCCTTCATATGTCATAATTTCAATACATTTACCATTTCTTTTTATCCAGTTCTTTGTCTACTGTTCTAAGTGAATAAAATTATAACAAAACATTTCACCTTTGCCTAACACGTATTTGTTCTTTTTATCAAAAAATCTTCAATTGTTTTTTTAATCAACTGAGAATTTTTCCAGCTCTATCACCTGACCGAATGGAGATACTGGTGGAATAAACAATTGTCTATATTTATTCCATATTATTAACATATGACTAACACAATGATTTTCTATGTTTGAAAGTTCAAATGTAGTTATCGCCTTTCCATATTCTACCAGATTAATTTATTGGCCTGAGATACATCTGACATATTTATTTACTTATTTATTTATTAGATTTTTACCCCGCCCCTCTAGACCATGTCTACTCAGGGCGGCTTACATAGATAAAACAGAACATTATAAAACATCAAATAAATAAAATTATAAAATTACAATTACAATTGAACAATTAATTTGAAGAAGATTACCAAGATGGCATAGCATAAAAGGGGAGAAAAATAAGAAAGACTTAATTGGCTGGAGGGAAGGCCTGCTTGAATAGTTTTTAGCTGGCTTGATATATCTTGAATGATTGGCAACGTAAAATAACCTTGAGTCACATAGTCCTAAACTTCCATTTTTTAAAAAGATTTATACCATCCCTTCTTATTAATCCTTGATTTCTTATTTTTGTAAACAGAATCTATTAATTATATTTTCTGAATCCCTGACCTCTTCTTTCTTAATATTTTAGTAGCATCATAAATAGATCTTATATAATATCTTCCTTTTACATGTTGCAATTCTGCCAAACCATGACAATTCAATTGTCCTTAAATCAGCTACCTTCTTCATTTATTACCTGCTTCAATAAATTAAAATTCTCTTCTTTCAAACTTTCCAAACTAGCAGGAATATTGATACCTAAATCATTGAGTGTATTTTGAATAAAAATACTCATTTCTTTTTGGATTTTTTCTTTTTTCTCTTTATTATAATTGCTTTTAAAAATTCTGATTTATGTCAATTTATCTCCAACCCAATTATCTCTCCAAATTCTTCAAAATGCAATTCAATCCTCTCTACAACTTTTAAAGGGTTCAGTGTTGTTAATAAGGTACCATCAGCACACACACTAATCTTAACTCTATCCTGGTTACCTAAAATATCTTTAATTTATCTGATAACATTTGTTAATAATTTGATAACTAAAGCAAACCATACAGGGGACCCCCCACAGCCTAGTTCCTTGGTCTAGACAGGTGTTTGTTACCCCATTGTTAACTAGCACTGCTGCAGTATTCTGTGATTGCAGTTCAGTTATTTCTTGAAAGCCCATAGTAAAATGATCTTAATTATCATATACCTTAATTATCATTTTTAAAGACGGCCATTGCACCAAATCAAAACCCTTAAAAATATCCAATGAAATTACTCATTTCTTAACTTTGTTTTGAAATTCCATTTATTATGTTTAATA